TCAGGCATCGTCTTACATGGACCAGGGAGCATTTATGCTGGACGAGGGCCTCAGTGCTGTTCCCTGATGAAAGTCAAATCATGTTGAGCAGAAATGTTGGCTGTCAACGATATTGGAGAGGTCAAGGAGAGCGCTTTGCATCAGCCACTGTTCTCAACAAACGAGCTTTTGGTGGTGGCGGTGTTACACTGTAGACCAGAGGTGTCAAACATACGGCCCGCCGGCCGGATCCGGCCCGCAAAGGAGTTTAATCCGGCCCGCAGGATGATTATGTAAAGCAGGGGTGTCAAACATACGGCCCGCCGGCCGGAACCGGCCCGCAAGAAGGTTCAATCAGGCCTGCAGGATAATTTAAAAGTGAAAAAAAAGGCATTAAAGACACAGAATTAATATTTTTTAAAAGGTGCAATTCATTGAGTATCCGCAAGGGGACACTGTTTTGATCAGAGAAGAAGACAACAGCAGCCTCAGTCCGTCACTGAGACAGACCCATGACCCCATGACATCAGACGCTATCAATAGCACTCTCACATTTACACATTTAATAGCACTCTCCTGAGTTTGTAAGGTGTAGGCAGGGATTACATTTAGATTTTATATGCATGTGTAAATGGTTTAAAACTCCCTTTCTTTATAAATCTCGCTTCATCTTAAAGTGCATTTCTATATTTTTCAACACCAATTACTTGTTAAAGCTTGTACAATCAGTGGGATGTGATTCTCTGCCCGTGGTGGTAAAAGGCCGTCCGCCATGTTTTCCCACACACCTTCAACAATAATATCACCGGAGGCTGCAGGCCAAAGGCAAACGACGTCGTACCTTCGTAAACACCTCTTTTTTCTCTTCTTTCCGCTTGGGAATATTGTCCTGGTCCCCCGAATTGTCCCTTAACTTGATCTTCAAGACGCCCTTGTCCTTCGATGCCGTCATTTGCTCCTTTTCAAATCTCATCTTTCTCCATTTTCCTGTGCTGAGAGGACTCTGTCTGCGCTCGGAGGTCGCTCGCGAGAGGACACGAGCGTACCGTGAGAGGTGAGAGCGAGCCCAATTGGCCTTTTTCATTTGTAAGCAATTCGTCATGAAGATGAAATTAAATAATTTCTTTCCTTTTTCATTTGTAAGCAATTCGTCATGAAGAAGAAA